GGAGACGCTGAAGGCGGGGCTTGTGGGGCAGGAGGTGGGGTTATTTTTTATTGTTTTTTATTGTTATTATTTATTATTGTTATTATTTGTTATTGTTGTTATTTATTATTATTATTGTTATTTATTATTATTATTTATTATTGTTATAGGAAAGTGGGAGTGGCGAGCGTAAGGGCGCTCTGCACGCGCGCGACATCGACGCGCATTGGATACAGAGGTCGCTATCGAAGTTTTATAAAGATCCAATAGTGGCACAGCAAAAAGTCAACGAAATTCTGCAGATTCTAAGGGTTAGTTGTGATTGTTTTAATTAATTAATTAATTAACATTAATTAGTATTATTAGTTTATTTATTTAATAATTATTGTTATTGATTTGTTTTCTGGCGACCTGAAATTAATTCTGGTATAGCGTTGGGAACCTGAAATCGGAAAACTGAATTTGTATTTTGTATAATTTTTTATTTTTCAGGAAGCGTCAGATGATCGCGATTGTGAGAATCAGTTGGTGTTGTTGTTGGGTTTTGATCAGTTCGAGTTCATTAAGGTGTTGCGACAGCACAGGTGATTATTATTTATTATTATTAATTAATTAATTATTATTAATTAATCAATTATTGTAATTAATAGGCAAATGATTCTGTACTGCACGCTATTGAAACAAGCACAAGAGGGAAAGGAACGAGAGCAATTGGAGAAGGAGATATTATCACGACCCGAATTGCATCATATACTGGCTGAGTTGCAGGAGACTGAGAGTGCGGACGTGGTGCAGGTGGGGTGCTTTTTGGGAATTTTTTAGGGGATATTGGGATTTTTTTGGGGGATTTAGGGAATATTTTAGGGGGCGGGGCTATCGAGGGTCGGAACTGGGGGCAAGGTTATGTAGGAGGGGGATCATTTAGGGGTATTTAAGGAAGTGGTTTAGTATTTTATTAAACATTTTACTATTTGTGGTTAATTTTTGTTGATAATTATAATAATAATTTTAAAAATTTGAGTCGGAACGCGAGAAGCGCGCGCGTGCGCAGCAGCAGAGGCGCGCGGCTGAGGCGCAGGGCGCGGGCGACGAGACGACATCGGCCGGGAATTGGATACAGTCGAGGAAGGTGCTCGACCTGGAGGATTTGGCGTTCGCACAGGGATCGCATTTGATGAGTAATAAGGCGGGTTATTTATTATTTATTATTATTTATTGTTATTATTATTATTTATTATTGTTATTTATTATTGTTATTTATTATTTATTATTATTTATTATTATTATAATATAAAATTTATAGAGATGTCATCTGCCAGACGGGTCGTTCCGTAAACAACGAAAGAGTTACGAAGAGGTTCACGTGCCTGCATTGAAACCGAAACCATTTGACGATGGGGAGGTGAGTTATTTGTTATTATTTTATTGTTTTTGTTGTTTATTTGTTATTATTTTATTGTTTATTTATTATTTATTATTATTTTATTGTACTGATTTTAAAAAATTCCAGAAATTGGTACCAATCGTGGAATTGCCGAAGTACGCGCAACCGGCATTTGAGGGTTATAAGACTCTGAATAGAATACAGTCGAAATTATGCGATGCAGCATTGAAGACTGACGAGCATTTGCTGTTGTGTGCGCCGACGGTGGGTATTATTTATTATTATTTATTATTGTTATTTATTATTATTATTTATTATTGTTATTTATGTATATTTGTTATTCTTTTTGTTATTTATTATTGATTAAAATGTTATATATGATAATAAATACTATGTACAATAATAAATATTGTGTATAATAATAAATATTATATGGTAATAATAAATATTGTAGATATTGATAGATATTATGTGGTGATAGTAATGAATATTATATATAAGTGAATATTACGTGATAGTAATGATAAATATTATGTATAATAGTAAATGATAGTAGTAGTAAATATGTAATAAATATATATAATAATAATAATAAATGTATAATAATATTGTGTATAATAATAAATATTATATATAATAATAATAAATAATAATGTTAATTGAAGGGAGCAGGCAAGACGAACGTGGCGTTGCTGTGTATATTGAGAGAGATCTCGAAGCACATGTCGGACGACGGCAAGGTTCGGGCGGATGAGTTTAAGTGTATTTATATAGCGCCGATGAAGAGTCTCGTGCAGGAGATGGTCGGCAACTTCACTAAGAGACTCGCGCCTTATAATATTAATGTGCGTTTTTATTATTTATTATTATTTTTTTTATTATTTATTGTTGTTGTGTTTGTTTGTTGTTAATAGTAATAAAAGTTATATGACAAGTGATTAAGATGAGTAATAAGTAGTAATATAAGTAATATGATAAGTAAACGTAAAAGTAATAATAATAAAAGTAATATGACAGGTAATTAATGTGAGTAATAATATAAGTAGTGTGATAAGTAAAAGTAATAATAATAAAAGTAATATGACAAGTAATTAATGAGTAATAAGTAATAATATAAGTAATATGATAAGTGAAAGTAATAGTAATAAAAGTAATTAATAGTAAGTAATAATATGATAATAGTAATAATAGTAAATGATGTTCAGGTAGGTGAGATGACCGGAGACACGCAAATGAATAAAGAGCAGTTTATGCAGACGCAGGTGATCGTGTGTACACCTGAGAAGTATGATATTGTGACGAGAAAGGGTACTTTTTATTGTTTTTATTATTTATTTTATATATTATTTATTATTATTGTTATTTATTGTTATTATTATTATTGTTATTGTTATATATTATTGTTGTATAAATGAATTGAAGGCGGTGAGCGGGCCTATAATGAGCTGGTTGGATTGTTGATAATCGACGAGATTCATCTGCTTCACGACAACAGAGGACCGGTTCTGGAGGCGATAGTAGTGAGGTGGGCATTCATTATTATTTATTATTTATATTTATTATATGTATATTAATAATATATATATGTATAATAATAATAAATATAATAAAAAATTGCAGAACACTACGGCAAATGGAGCAAAATCACGAGGAGTGTAGACTGGTGGGGCTGTCGGCAACACTGCCGAATTATCAGGACGTGGGCACGTTCCTGAGGGTGAAACCGAAGAATTTGTTTCATTTCGATAACAGCTACAGACCGGTGCCGTTGGAACAGCAGTATATCGGTTGGTTGTTGTGTTGTTTTGTTGTTTATTTGTTGTTTGTTTGTTGTTTATTGTTTATTTATTTTATTTATTTTTTATTATTTTTATTGTTTATTATAATAATTGTTTTGAGGTATAACGGAGAAGAAGGCCCTGAAGAGATTCCAAGCGATGAACGAGGTGGTATATGATAAGGTGATGGAGCATGCGGGCAAGAGTCAGGTGGGATTTATTATTGTTATTTATTATTTATTGTTATTTATTATTATTCTTTATTGTTATTATTGTTATTTATTATTATTTAGCAGATTTTTTATTTAGTAAATTAACTGTAAAACTCACTCGTGAGCTGCCAGACGGGTGGCAATAGTATATTATTATATACGATAATATAACATACAATAGTGTCTGATTATTATATGTAATAATAAATATTATAATATATAAATATATATAATAAATAATAAAAATAATAAATATTATATATAAAAAATAAATTTGATATGAAGCGCGCGGTGAAAATTAAGTGTTTGATCTGAATTGGGTCAAAGCTTGCGGTAAATATTGTGTTTCGCGCCTTTTCTATCTCTCGAACTCTCTTCGATTATGTACACTGATAAGCGATCTCTCGCTCTCGAGGAGTAGATAGCGTTGTATTGGAGAGAGGACAGACAGCGAAAGGTCAAGGCGGGAGACAGAGAGAGAGGCTCAGTTGACTGTCAGTTAAATCTGGCAGTCAGTGTTGGTTGTTGTGGTACCACGAGCTGGTTGGTTGAGTTGGGTCGTGTCTGTGTGGGTGTTTGTTTATATTATTTATTATTGTGGTAGTTATGTACATTATTATTGTGCGTATTGTTGTACATCTATATTATTATTATATATATTATTATACATCTATATTATTATAATACATATATACATTATTATATACATTACTCATTGTATATATATATTATTATTATTATACATGTACAATGCAATATTAATTACAATATATACATTATTAATATAAAAGTGATAAGATTATCACACGTTATCACTGGCTTATCAGTGGGTTATCACCGGATTATATTCTACTGCATCGATATATCTATCAACACTGTGTTCTATAGTTATATTTATTATTACTATTATTGTTATTGATGTTGTCTTAAACATATGAGGACTCTTCTTAAGATAGATGTGGAATTGGGTGTTTAATTTTAGGGGTATTAATATTTAAGGTTATGATTATAAGGTAATGACATTAATAGTAATAAGGTGTATTATAAGGTAATGACATTAATAATAATAATAATAAGGTGTATTATAAGGTAATGACATTAATAATAATAAGGTGTATTATAAGGTAATGACATTAATAATAATAAGGTGTATTTTCAGGTGTTGATATTCGTCCATTCGCGAAAGGAGACGGCCAAGACAGCGAAGGCGATTCGAGATGCGTGTTTGGAGAAGGATACATTGAGTGCGTTCATGAGGGAGGGGAGTGCCAGTACTGAGATTTTGAGGAGTGAGGCTTCGCAGGTGGGTTATTGTGTTGTTATGTTGTTGTTGTGTTTGTTGTTTTTATTATTATTATTATTATTATTATTGTTATTATTATTATTATTGTTGTTATATTTAGGTAGCGAATGCGGATTTAAGAGATCTGATACCGTACGGATTCGCGATCCATCATGCAGGAATGACGAGGGTGGATAGGACACTGGTAGAGGACTTATTTGCCGATAGACATCTGCAGGTTTGTTTTATTATTATTATGAATAAATATGATGAATATTATATATAGTTATTGTTATTGTTATAGTAATAAATAATATATAATAAATGTTATATATAATAATTAATATTATTATAGTAGTAAGTAATAATATGTATAATAAATGTTATATATAATAATAATAATGAATTAAGGTGTTGGTATCGACGGCCACACTGGCCTGGGGAGTGAATCTGCCGGCACATACGGTGATAATTAAAGGGACGCAGATTTATAGTCCTGAATTGGGGAGATGGACGGAGCTGGGGGCATTGGACGTGATGCAGGTGGGTTTTTATTTTTATTATTATTGTTTTTATTGTTTATTATTTATTATTATTTATTGTTGTTTATTATTTTTATTATTTATTATTATTTATTGTTTTATTTATTAATTAATTACAGATGTTGGGTCGGGCAGGTCGTCCGCAGTACGATTCAAAAGGAAAAGGAATTATGATAACACATCATTCGGAGTTACAGTATTATCTGTCGTTGATGAATCAGCAGGTGGGGTTGTATTATTTATTGTTATTATTTTTTATTTATTATTATTATTTATTATTATTTATTGTTAATTAGTGATATTAATTAATGTAATTAATGTTAATTGCAGTTACCAATCGAGAGTCAGATGATCTCGAAACTGGCTGATATGCTGAATGCAGAGATAGTGCTGGGCACGATAAATAACGTGTCGGATGCGATGAACTGGATGGGGTATACGTATCTGTATGTGAGGATGATTAAGGCACCGGGGTTGTATGGGATATCGGGGGATATGGTGGTGGGTTATTATTATTTATTATTATT